CCCCCCACACACACACACAATCCCCCACCTAGCCTGGAGTACAGGTGGTTGAGGAAGTGCATGACCCTTGTGGGGGGTATTTGGTGACACAGGCTCGTGAAGCCCTTGATGTCGGCGAACAACACAGTCACCTGCCCGGGGGGAGGAGGTGGAGGAGGTGGGGGGGGGGATCTTAGACAAGAAGCTCAGAAATTAAGTGCCGGGGAGGAGGGAAGGGGAAGGGAGAGGAGGGGAGGGGTAGCAAGGGAACCACCCACCCACCCACTACCACCCACCCACTACCAAACCCCCACCCACTACCACCCACCCACTACCACCCACCCTCCTACTACCAAACCCCCACCCACCCACTACTACCGCACCATGGGATGGTAGGTGGCTGTGGAGGCGCTGTTCTGCGGCAGGGGCAGCTGGGTCAGGCGGTACCTGGCGGCGCACCCCCTCCCCGACCGGGGCCCACCACCACCCCGGTTGCGGTTGGGGCCAGCGCCCGTACTGCTCCTGATGACGCTGCATCTGTTCTTGCTGCAGCTGTTGTTGTTGTTGTTGTTATTGCTAGTCCGCACCGAGGCGGCTGCGAGCTCCAACACGTGCCTGGCTCCATCAGCACAACGGCGCAAGGGCGGGAGGGGCAAGGGCGGGAGGGGGAGAATTTCACGGCGGGGTGAGCGGGGGGTTGAGGGGGGGGGTGAGCGGGGGGATGGGGTGGGTTAAGACGAACCACTGTGGAGCGGGGGAGGGGAGGAGGTTGGAAGCGAGAAGGAGAAGCAAAAGTAAAAAGAAACGTCCCTGGCGAGTTGTCGAAGAATGCCGCCGCTGGTGGGGATGGGACTCATCCTTCCTTTCAGTCGTACACCTCCGATGTGTGCGAAGCGCAAGTGGTGATGTCCCTACCTAACTACCTAACTACCTGCCTACCTAAATCCTTAGTAACTAATACCCAACTACTACCTACCTAACAACCTACACACACAAGTGCACACATATCACCCACGCCAGCCGCTAAAGCCGAGCCCCAAAGCGCACCTCTCAACAGACAGGACAACCACAAAACCGACAACCGACAGAAAACTGAAAAAACTGAAAAAATGCGTAAACCCGGAGCAGATGGAGATGGAGAACACCGCCCAACCCAACCCAACCCAACCCGTGGACAGCAAAGACGGGACAGGGACGGAGCAAGACCAAAAAGGCGGCCCCCCAAGGCTCCCCCCTCCAAATCGTTCAGTCTACTCTTCCCCCCCCCCACCACCACGCTCTCTAGCCCCGTTATCCCCTCGCCTTCATCTTTACTTTCCTTACACCCCCTTCTGTCGAAGGTCAGCCAGTTTGCGATCCCTAACTCCCCCACCCGCCAAAACCCCACCCGGCAGTTGCTGTAGGGGGGGTGTCGATGCAACTGCTTCTTTGTGACCACTTTTTGTTCTCATGATTTCTCCCCCCCACACACACCCGAGGTCACGGTCTTCACGGACGCCTTTCGGTCAGTTCTACGTTTGTTACTCTCTTGCCCTGGCAGCAGCTTCAATCGTGTGTGGTTCGTCTTTCCCCCCCCCCACCACCACCCGAACGCCATCCCTCGGAACTTTGTTACGGGGTGGGAGGCTTCTGGGCCCCACTTGAACACATCTTGTCATTTCTACGGTTTATCACACCATACAGCATTACCATCCACCAGATCTGACATGTGTTGCGTAACATACACAACACAAACACACACAAAACACACACGCACAAACATACGCACAAAATACACAATTACACAAATACGCAAATGTGCAAAAACAAAAGCACAAGCATTCAAAAAACACATACGTACGTGCAAAATGAAAAACGTGTCCCCTCTCTCACCTGGGGAAGATGGACTCCAGCAGCTGGTGCTCCGCCTCCAGGACTCGCGCAATGCGCCGCTCCGCACGTACCCGGGCAGTAACGTCCGTCTGAGTGTACGACACATGTACGGCAGCGCAGTACGGCATGGTATGAATGTATGAGGGCGATATGTATGCACAAGGGGGTCACCGAACCCCGAGGTATGTGGATAACCTGCGACCAGCGCCGTTCCCATGCCCTGTCATCATACACATTCCCACATGCACACAGGGATTTATCCGTACATTCGTACAATTTTCCGTACATAGCATCTTGGATGCCGTACTGCACCACGCATACCTGCATCAGCAACAGCAGGGGCATGCCCACACCGCCGCCACCATCGCAACCACCACCCGCCGTCGCCGTTGTCGCCGCCGCCGCCATCTCGCCCTCCCCCTCCAGCAGCGTCAACGTCACCTCATGCCAACAGCCACTACTGCTAGAGCTGCTGCCGCCGCTGCCGCCGCTCTCCCCATCGCTAAATTCGTCGCCATCCTGCTCGATAACACTACCGCCGCCGCCGCCGCCGTCGCCGTCGCCGCCGCCGTCGCCGCAGCCGCCAATGCTGTTTCGGGCCCCTGCTGCACAGCCACCCCTGGCAGCCATTCCCAGTGCGCCAGTGCCGTCGGTCTCCCACTCCCTGTCCATGGAGACCCGTAGCGCTGCCGCCGCTGCCGCTGCCGCTGCCGCCTCGCCCGCCTTCTCCCTCCCCCCATCCTCTTCCTGCAATTCCTGCTCCTCCTGCGTCTTTTCCTGCTTGTCCTCCTCCTCCTCCTCCTCCTCCTGCTGTTGCTGCTGCTGCTGCTGCTCCTGCTGCTGCGTCTCCTCCGCCCCCTGGTCAGCACGCGAGGCCGCTGATGACACTTCGGGAGCCCCCTCCTCCCTCAACACCAGAAGCGCGCGCACCCCATCCACCAGACCTCCTGCTGCTGTAGTTTCCGCTGCTACTGCTACTGCTGCTACTGCTACAGCTGACAATCCTGCTACTGCGTCCCCGTTCTCGTCCTCCTCTTCGTTGATCTTACCTGGCTGTAGCGGCTGCTGCCTCTGCAGCCCATGCTGCCACCGCATCGGCGACTGCTGCTGCTGCTGCGGCGGCGGCGGCGGCGACTGCTGCTGCATCAGCTCTTGTGTCCCCTCCTGTACCTGAGTGCTATCCCCGGCGCCTGCAGGGCCGGATGTAACAAGGCGGTGGGCGCTGGGCAGCCGAACAGACCGCGAACAGACCCGCGTCGATGCCGCCGACGTCGACGCGGATGCAAGCGTCGACGTCGACGTTGACGCCGACTGACCCCCGTGGCCTGATGCCGTAACGCCGCCGCCGGCAGCTGCTTCACCACACAAGACGGCCCCGCCGCCGCCGTCACCATTGCGAGTCCAGGAAGCGGCAGTTGTTGCGGCAAAACCGGCCCCGTTGCCGATTGTCTTCTGAAGCGTACGACGAGGACTCCCGGTGGTACCTAGCGCCAGCGGCGGCGGAGGTGGCGGCGGCGGTGTCCACGTGGAATACCCTCGTTCGGACGCTTCGACGTCGACGTCGACGTCGGCAGCGGCGGCGGTGGGTGCGTGCAGACTGCTCAACGGCCCGGACCCTTCAATCCCACCTAGAACTCGTTGTACGACAATGACATCGACCATGAGAGCCTGTCGGCTGGCGCCCACCTGGCGCCGCCGCCGCAATGCGCCGTCAGCGCCAACATCATCCTCAATCTCAGCTGCTAACCCGGACGCCTCTGGCGCCGCCGCCGGTGACGGCGGCCGCGGCGTAGCTCCTGACTCGGATCGGCTGGAGCGCACATCGCTGACGGCTCCTCCCCCTCGAGCACCGGCAGCGCCGCCGGTGGACGGCCGTACGGGGGCGGCGGCGGCGGCGGTCGGGTGGCGGCGGAGGGCACCACCATGCCGGTGCTGCTGCACGAGCCACGTACTCGCGACGTTCCCCCGCCGCC